GTTGGAAACTGATTGAGTCATGGGGGCGGATCCTCACGAATGGATTAATGCTCTTCTGGGGGAGAGGGGATTAATGAGTGAATTCTCGCTCTATTAGTTCCCATGAGAGCTTGTTGCTGAAAAAGACCCTGGCACCTTCTCTCTCTCTCTTGCTTCCTCTCGCCATGTGATCTGCTTGTATCCACAGGCTGCCTGCCACTTTCTGCCATGAGTAGAAGCAGCCTGAGGCCCGTGCCAGATGCAGCTGTCCCAGAATCATAAGCCAAATAAACCTCTCTTCTTTATAAATTACCCAGTCTCGGGCATTCTGTTATAGCAACACAAAACGGACTAAAACATGTGGCTTTCAAAAATTATGAAGTATGCAACTAGACAAGGTGCCGCCACCACCCTGGGGCCCTGCTGGGGCCCTGAGGTATGGAGCTGCAGGAAGCCAAACCCAGCCACAACCAGGTAAAGAGCACACCAAAATCACCATTTCCACATGGGTAACCCACCACAGCCACCACAATTGCCATGGCTGCCACAAAAGCGGTTAGTCTCTAATAGCAGCAGTTACAGCCACTGTGCAGATAGCAGGCCAGACTCTCAGCTGCATTAACAAAAGGAGAGGCACCAGCAAAAGTCCTCTCTGCACATAGCACACTTGAGAGTAATAGAAAAAGCATCTGCTTTACGGTAATAGGGGAGGACTGGACCACACCTGTCTCAGCACTGGACAGATCATCCGGGCAACAAACCAGCAGAGGAACAGCTAATCTATCAGATGGAAAGAACAAATTTATGGTTAATAGAGCGGGGAGGGGGAGAGGGGAGAGCAGGGGGGAAGAGGAGAGGTATTGGATAAGGACATAAATTATAACTATGATTTGTAACAATAAATTTTCTAAGAAAAATATATTTTTTTATTTTTATTTTTTTAAAGATGACCGGTAAGAGGATCTCAACCCTTGGCTTGGTGTTGTCAGCACCACGCTCAGCCAGTGAGCAAACTGGCCATCCCTATAAAGGATCCGAACCTGTGGCCTTGGTGTTATCAGCATCGCACTCTACCAAGTGAGCCACGGGCCGGTCTCTAAGAAAAAAATATATATTTTTTGTTTGTTTTTTGAGACGGGCTGCACCGCGCTCAGCCAGTGAGCACAGCAGCCATCCCTATATAGGATTCGAACATGCGGTGGGAGCGCTGCTGCGCTCCCAGCGCCGCGAGTGCACCACGGGCTCGGCCCTAAGAGAAATTTTTTTTTTTTTTTTTTTTTGTCTTTTTCCGTGTCCGGCAACGGATTGCAACCCTCAGTGTCGCCCCCGCACCGGACCGGGACCGGCAACGGGATCGCAGCCCCCAGCGCCGCTCCCGCGCCTCGCTCAGCCAGCGAGCAGGAACCGGTCTGTATGTGGGATCCGAACCCTCAGCGGGAGCGCCGCCGCGCCTCCCAAGCAGCGCACTACAGCAGTGCGCCACCGGGCCGGCCCCCTAAGAGAAATATTTTTAAAAAAATAAAAATAATCAAGTATGGGCCGCCTGGTGGTGCACTTGGTAGAGTGCAGCGCTTGGGAGCGTGGCGGCGCTCCCGCCGAGGGTTCGGATCCCATATAGATACCGGTCCGCTCACTGGTTGAGCGTGGTGCGGGCGCGACACCGAGGGTTGCGATCCCGTTACTGGTCATGAAAAAAGACAAAAAGGAAAAAAAAATCAAGTAATCTAGACACAAAGTACAAAAATAACACAGGTGTTCCCATATACCTACTTATCCATCAACTTAAGTGATGAAACACCGCCAGCTGGAGGTCATTGTGGGATGCTGGTCCTCAATTTTCTGCTCTCTCCCTACTCCCAACCATTATTTGAACTCGGTTTTCATCTTCCCACGCGTGTCTATTCTTTTATCACACTCGTGCGTATCACACGGCATTCTTCTGCGGGGCCTCGCACTTTATGTAAGTTATTGTAATTCTGCTACTTGCATTTTCCCCTCAGCCTTGTTTTTGAGACGCATCCACGTGGACAGGAGTGGATCTGCAGAATCCTGGTGCCTGTGCTCCTGTCACTTGGTCAGAGACCCGCCACGGGCTCTTCAAGGTGGTACCACATGGCGGCTTTTACGTCGTGCGTCTCCCTCTGGACAGTAAACGCCTTGGGGTCAGGGACTCCGCCGGCTTGCTCACCAGGCATTTTCCACAAGAGCGGAAAGTGAGGACTCTAACGCTCATCCACGTGGTGCGTGGCTGGCCGCAGCGGCGCAGCAGAAAGTCGCTGGTGGCAGTGCCAGAGGCTGGGGAGCAAGGCGCCCGGCCCGCCGGAGGCCTCTCTGCCGCAGGCAGACACACGGCACCACGACTACGGAACCTGGGCTCGCCCTCAGTAGCGGCCACGACTATAGGAACCTGGGCTCGCCCTCAGTAGCCTCCCGCAGGGCAGGGCCTGGCGTGGCCGCCCATTCAGCCCTC